ACGTTTTTGAGTGTTATTGTAATAAAGTTGGTTTATTTCAGACTGTGAATCAAACGAGGAAGGCTCTCCCCAAGGCCATGAGAGGAAAAGTAATAGAGAAAAAGTTCAACAACCCAAGAAAGCACGAAAGAGGCATGAAAATAAAAAAAGAAAGTAGCTTCGAAACTCAGGTTGTGAGTATAAGATAACAAAATAAAAAACAGTGCCAGGTAAAACTTTTTCAAACAACAACTGTTTTTGCAATAAACAATGTTTTGAAAAGATATCTTGTGAAGCAAATTCAAAATTTGTTGTATTCTACAGTGACAGCTACACCTTCCAAAACAGAAACTGGAATTTTGCCTTGGCCTTGTTACAGTTAGTTCAAAGTGAAAATAATAGTATCCAAATAGTTGAAACCAGTTTATGGTAAGTGGACGACACTCTTACTTACCAAACAACTCACTTTTGTTCAATTGAAACTCACTCTAAAGGTAAACAGATTTATGTGCCTAAAGATTGGATTTCAGTCATAGTTTCGTGTAGAAAGAAAAAGCTTTCATTTTCACAAAAACGCTTAAAGAAGACTTTAAAGATTTGATATAACTCACTTAATCAATTACAAAAAGAAAAACCAATTCGGATAACCAATCAGTGTCAAGGTTAAAAAAGCAGTGGACTAGAGTCAAAAGATGAGCCATTTTTATTGTTCTATAAACGCTGAATGAAAATTTTTACTTTTTACAAATTAATATCTTTCGAAGCAAGCAGAATAGAAGACCAACATTGTTAAAAAATTGTCAGCTGGATTACCTCTAAACAGTACCTTGATTAGTCATGCCAGCCAAAAATCGGGATATGTATGATTTACTACCATACATTCCTCCAGGCCACCATTCTTATTTTAGAAATCTTGTATCTGATGAAGTCAATGACGAAATTGGACCACTTCCTGATGTAGAAGAAAATAATGACTAATAAACTAGTGAATTTATTTTTGATTTTCTTTTATTTCATCCCTTAAGAACTAGCCTTATCATAGTTTTATTGGTACAAAAATGTTAGTAGGGTTATTATGTTATTATGACTACTAATGAATAAAATTTTTCAAAACCGAATTTATAAGAAATGTGAGGAGCAGATAGATCAAACACGCAGTTTGGCTTCAGAGGAGGCATGGGTACAAGAGAGGCATTATTTGCGATGACGGTACTCTTGCAGAAATGTAGGGAATATAATAAGAGTGCACATGCATACTTCATAGACTTTAGGAAGGCCTTTGACCGAGTGCAGCATATAAAGTTAATAGATGAATTAAAAAACATCAATTCACACAAAAAATACATTGAGTTTATTAAGGCTATATACTGGAACTGGAAAGCAGTAGTAAAGGAAACGATATAGAAACACATAATATACCAATTACGAGAGGAGTCAGGCAAGGATGCGTCTTGTCTCCGACGCTTTTCAACGTGTACTCACAGGTCATATTCAGAAAGGCCTTATGGGAAAGAAAAGAGGGAATAAGAATTGGTGGAGAAATCGTAAACACCATGAGATTTGCAGATGACACAATCAATAGTTTTCATTTCGTTATAAAATGTTTTCTATAATTAGGAAATTTAAAAAATGTTGTTGGATGCATTAAAACTTAAAACTATAAGTGAAATAAAAGAACAACATATCACATACACATTTAATTGTACTCATCACTTTCTACAAAAGTAAAATATGAGACGTGACCCGTACTACAACAAATATTTATTTAACGTTGAGAATAATTACAAAGGTGATTATACAAAGCGACAACTAACCAACGGACCAGCACAAATGATAAATTCAATTAAATTCACCGTTACAGGCCGTGAATAATTTTCAATCAGTTACCCAAAACTTAGTGAATAAATAGTTTTTGGAAGCAAACCTTTCTTATCGCGGGCATACGGGTGGTGGATCGCCAAAACTATCGCTCCGTGGTTATAGGATAAGAAAGCTATGCATCCATTCCCCGGTCACTCCTGGAGTACCACATACCGTTTTTCTGTACAGTTCGTCTCTGTACACTGCGTCTCTTACTGTGGGTAATATTATTGTATTTAGCATTCGTTCAGTTTCCGTTATTGTTTCCATACATTTCTATCTACATTCTTACACCTAATCAATTCCCTTTTAGCCTTATTTTCCTTTTCATTAAATTTTTTCAACATTTCTTGCGCGATTTCGTTTTCCTTATAGTCGTTTAATTGACAGGTAGTGGTTCAATGTTGGAGTATAACTCGTACTTAATTGTAAAGAAAGCTAAGAAACAAAAGTAAATAACATTTTCTGCTTCTTAGCTGCAAGGCTAAATAAGTATCATGAATATGCCGATATCGATCAATAAATGAAATAGTTTAGTTAAAAGAAAAAGTACAATTATTCCAAATATCACGTTATAAAACAACGTGTTCCTATAATCAATAGATAATATAAAAAAATAAATATTATTCTAATTGTAATACATATTCCAAAATAAGCAAAAACATATACTATTTATAATTATTTGTGCACTTTTTTAAAATATTTATGCTATTTAAAACCAAGTTGAAAAATGGATGTGCTCCAGGTCCAGAGGGGATATATGCAGAGTTAATAAAAAATGGAACCAACAAACTATTCGAGATACTAACGAAGTTTTCAATAGGCACTTGCACGGAGAACCAGTGCCACAAAGTTGGAAAGAAGGATGGATTACATCTATCCATAGAAAAGGAAATAAGAAAGACTGCAATATCTATCGGGGTATAACTGTTACGAGCACGCTTACCAGATTATATGGGAGAATTATAAAAGAACGCATAGGCGAAGACTACCGTCCTTTTGAATCAGAATAACAAAACAGATTCAGAGCAGGACGATCCAAAATAGAGAGTATTTTCTGCTAATCCCAATTACTCGAGACAAGACCACTGAGATCTCGAGAAGTAGATTTAACAAAAGCATATGACACCGTGTCTGTTGTGAAATTAGGTTTCAAATGGTTTTCAGGTAACAAAAGGATTGAAGCAAGGTTGTTGTTTATCTCCCATACTGTTTAATATATATATCGACGAAGCACTCAGGCACTGGAAAAAGACGTGGAAAGGGATGGAGCTGTCTATTGGGGATGAAACGTTATACACGTTGCACTATGCATATGACCAAGTAGTTATTGACCAAGACAAGGAAAACCTGGAGTATATGGCTAGAAACCTAATGGAAGAGTACAAGAAATGGGGTCTCGAAGTAAATTTACAAAAAACGCAATATCTTTGCATAGGAGAAAATACTGCGGATGACCTCGACTTACACGGGAACACGGGAAAATTAATAAATGCGATCGATGTATATATATAAAACTAACAAAGACATGAAGAACTGATGAAGCGCTAAAAAACAGAGTAACCAAAGGGAAACGAGTTATAGGTGCATTGAATTCAGTACAATGGCAAAAAAATATAAGACAGGAAAAATAAAAAAAATATATATATGTATATATAAAATACCATATTGAAACCAGTTATCCTCTATGTCTCAGAAAGGCAGTTATCACAAAAACTTAAAGGTAACCTATTGGCAGTTAAAATGGATTTTTCGAGGAGAGCAGCGGGAAAGTCTAGATTAGAACATGTGAGAAATGAGGACATAAGGAATCAAATGAATGTACAAAGATCAATTATAGAAGACATCGCAAAACAACAACTCACATGGTACAGACATGTTAGACGTATGGGAGAAGAAAGATTATGAAAAAAATATTAGAATGGGTACCACCAGAGAAAAGAAAACGAGGACTACCACCAACAACATGGATGCAAGGAATTTCAAAAGCAATGTGAGCAAGAAATCTATCTGAAGAAGACTGGCAGAATAGACAGGCTTGGCGAACGGGAACCCAAAGGCGGATTACGCTATGAACGGGATATATATATATATATATATATATATATATATATATATATATATAAAACTAAGTTATGCTATGAAATTATTTAACGATGGTCAATACTAACTAAAAAACTAGTTTTTTAATAAACAGAAAATTTTTTTAATAAAAAAAAAAATACAAAATAATTGCATGAAGAAGCAAGATATATAATAAGATCAAATAAAAATTATTAAAATCCGTTATTTGAAGAAGATTTAAAGAGAAAATTTGAATATATTAACGGAATCATATTGGAAAACGATACCGTCAAACAAACAACTACAAATGATAAACAAGAACAGGATTTACAGGAAATAGTAAATAAAAATATAGAAACAAAACTAAAGGGTCTCAATAAAAAATTGGAAATAGTAACTTTTCCAAAATTTGAATTATGTTTTGGACTTTATGTTTATGTTTTTTAACGTTTTGACTTTAGGAAGATATCTTTAATAGACGACATGGCATTTTAGTACCACCATTTTTATCTATTATCTTTTTTAATATAAAATAGTGCAGATAGCTTTTAAGCCATAGCTTAGTTTCCAACATTTGCTCACATTTATCTTATCCTTCGTTTACTGTCAACTGTTAGTTAGTATTTTTCCTTTAATTTTTGAAGCGTTTAGGTAATTTTGGATATAGAAAACATCCCTTACACTGACTACAAAAGTAGATGAATGAGGTAAGCTTGTCAAATTTTGATGTAAATAAAAAGAAATTGCAAAGAACGTACCTTTGTTTGAATTGGATAGAATGTTGTATGCAGCATTATGTGAAACAACGCAAGGAAAGAGAAACCGTGCAAAAGCTCTTTGATATGATGTCTCCGAATATGCTACTGTACTGCCGAGACTGGGAGCTAACAATAATGTCAAAAGATGTTAAAAATCTCTAGTGAACTTAAAGGAGAAAACATAAAACAAAATTGTCATGGCCAAAGTTTAACCATAGAAATATTCACTTTTAACATTTTTTTAATGATTTTATTTTTTAATAACTTTAAATTTATTTGTTTAATTTTTGTCTTATTTTGAAATATTTTGACTTAATAAAGATATCACATAATTTTTAATCAAGGAAAATTAACAATGAATGGTTTTTGAAATTCAGCTTCTTCTACTTCCGAAGCTGGAACTGGATATTGTCGTTGTTTCAAAAAAATTAAGAGCCTTCTTTCCTTTTGATGTTTTTCCTACAATAGCAAAATTTTATGTGTTAATATTTATTGTTAATTAAATATTAAAAAGTTTATACAGTCATTCATATTAAATTTAAATGGAAGCCAATTAACAAAACTATAATTATTATACTATATAGGGTAAATTTTTAAAATTGTTTATCATTTTCTATAAATATAAGGTAGAAAGGAAAACAATCTAATAAATATGTATATGAAGCGATAACAGACCATTAAGAGCTAGAGTAACGATAGACCTACAAAAAGAAAGAGTAAAGATGATAAACAGTTGCAAACGCATAGTTTGGAATTAACCAAATCAGCCAGAAGCATACATAAAAAATATAGCCGAAACTTTACAGAGTAATAATACCAAATCTCTAAGTATCGACGATCACAATAAATTAATAACAGACACGGTTATAAACGCACAACTCAAATTTTGCAATAAAAATGACACCAAAAGTCAAAAGATTAGCAAAGATACAAAAGCTCTTATGGAAATACGACGAAACCTAAGCAAGAACGAAAAGGGAAACAAAGAAGAATATAGAAAACTAAATAAAAGAATTTTAGCGCAAATTAGAAAAGATGTAAGAAGTTATAATACATGTAATTACTCAAACAGTAGAAGGGAACAAAAGTTTAAAGATAAGGAAAAGAAAACTCACACAAAGTAAAAAGAAATATACAAGCTGAGTGATAAAGACGGAAAGGCAACAACAGATAAACAAAACATTCTGAAAATAATCAGAGAGTTTTATAAAGACCTCTATACCAGCCAAAGACGACAAGACAATTTCCCGACACGAGTAAAGACTCTCATAATTCAGGGATCGGAAATACTTTTACCCATTACTGTGTCAGAAGTAAAAGCAGCTTTAAAGCAAATGAAGAACCATCGATCGCCTGGTAATGATGGACTCGTTATTGAGGCAATAAAAGCAGGAGGAGAAATTCTATCTATTCTATTCTATTTCAGCCATTCCCAGGATAAACAATACAGGATTCAGGGAATCTCCCTGTCGCATCTTGTTGCCGATGCCGAAAATATAAGAAACTGTGGACAAAAATGTGGAAAGTGGAGAGAAAAAAAGAAAAACCGTTTCTAACAACGAACACGTGGACTGTGGTTATTATGCTTACCTCATTTTTAAGTAGCTTTTTACATTTACAGTTTCTTTTCTTTCGATGGTGTTGATGACTGTCATGAGTTGCAGGTTCAGATGGAGCATTATCTAAACCATGTTTTTGTCTAAATCTACGGGACAAAATATTTTCAGTCGGTGATTTTGGAAGAGTGTACCGTTCGCTGGAATCGTCTTTAGTCTTCTTAAATTCTTCTAATGCAGCACTAAAAATAAATAGTAACAATGAATCAATATGACAGCAGTAGAGTCACTGAAAGAAAAGAGAAATCCAGGAATAAAAATATGAAAGAAAGAGATCAGGAGGTGAAATATAAAAGCAGTAGAATTACCGATTGAGGTCGTGCTTAGAACTTAGAACTACAAAGCTTTTTTGTAATGTGGAGCTATCTAAGAATCGACCCATTGGCTGTTCTTGCAGACCAAGGTATTCGCATCATTCTTCGCCGTCAGACCGTTTCGAACGCGTCTATAATATTTCTAATAACTTTCTTCACGAACCAGCATTCAGATCCATTATATAGAAAATGGAAAAGACGTTTGTTTTTACGAGCCTCATCTTTGTACGTATGGTGATGATTGTGATTCCATATTCTGGTGAGCTCATTGCTCGCTTGGCCGTTGCTGATCTTCTGTTGATTTTCGTAGTAAAGGGGTACAATATAATATTTAAAGTTGTTATTAGAATATAAATTTACCTGTTAACTGTTTGGCAATAGTTGTCAAGTAAATAATCCAACGAACATTTATTTCTGCAGCACTCGTTAACGATTTGCCTCTTCCTTCGAAAAATAGTGTCTGAAAAAAAAAAACAATAAATTCAACAACATAACAACTAAAACATACGTAAGTATAACAAAATAACATTTTTAACTTATCATCAATTCAATAAAATGTAAATTCCCTAAAATATATTGTTGATATCATCATCAGCTCATAGTCGTCCACTGTTGAACATAGGCCTCTTAACTTGCTCGGGAGCAATCCAGTTGGTACATATCCTCTTTATGGCATCCGTCCATCAGAATAAAGCAAGACATTGAAGTAGCAGCGGAAGATGAAATGGGAACAGAAATTTTTGTCCGGAAAAATCATCGGTTTGACGAAGAATATTAATGCAACAAAAAAAAATGAAGCCTACAGAAAGATTCTTACCCGAGAAACTGGAACAACTGTAGAGAATTTCCAGACAAAAAGAAGAGAAGAAAAGAGGATACACAAAAAATGAAACCACTTAAACAAGGAACTTAAATACATAGAAAACCTCAACAGAGAGAAAGAATTCAGAGCATTCTGTAGTAAAGTTAACATCAACAGAAAAGAATTTAAGGCAAGCACAAGACAATGCAGAAGTCAGAATGGCGACCTAGCAACAACAAGGAAAGATGTCGTAAATAGATGGGTGAAATACTGTAACCAGGCACTTAATATACGGAAAGAAGGAGATAGGGTGAGAGAAAAAAGAGATAAGGGAAGGGAACAGACGAGAGAGAAGAGGTACCACCAACGATTCTTGAAGTTAAAGATGCAGTTAAAAAAACTAGCCAGAAACAAATCACCTGTAATAGAAAATTTCCCATCTGAACTACCATACTATTCAATCTGGCTCTGAAAACAGTAATACGTATGTCACAAATCACAACCATTGGTTCAATATATGAAGCGTGCATTTCCATAACGTTGTAAGTGCCAATATGCCTCATTTGTTTTTTTTTAAGTTAAATGCGTTGCAAGTGCCATGTTCCATCGCCTAAAATTTATTTCATGTCGATATGTCTAGCGACGGCGTGAAAAGTGGGGATAAAGTAGCGGTGCAAGTCATAACGTTGTAAGTATCGTAGTGCAATTCTGTTAAATGTAGAGTGGCGCATCAGTTACTAAATTATTTTTGTTTGGACGTGTTGGGTTGGGTTTAAACATAAGTATTTGGAACGAATATGGATGAAACTACAGAAAAACGGTCCAAAAAGAAAAGAAGAGTTGTTGATAGTTGGAAAAAAAATAAAACCAAGAAAATGAGAAACTCTGGCGAAGAATATGTTTCTCTAGTCAATAAAAAGACCGTTACAAAGAAAATGCCACCAGCTGATGTAAGTGCCTCAAAACATTTTGTAGTACGTTTGCCGTAACTCCAAGAAGAGTGCAACTTTTGGGAAAAAAAATTCTTGATGGTAAAATGGATATGTCAGAAAAACGAGGAGGGGCTCGACAAAATATTTTCAAGACTGTCTGGACTAACAAGATTATAGAGCATATCGAAAGTTTTCCAAAAATTGAGAGCCACTACGCAAGGGCGAAAACCCCGGATAAGCTCTTCTTGTCACCGGATTTAAACGTAAGTAGAATGTACCGTGCATTTTTAGAGAAATATTGTGCGGATTATCAGCCGCCCAACAAACCACCAGGATGGAATTTTTATATCAAAATTTAACTTATCTTTTGCAAGGCCTACAGTAGATACATGCTCCACATGTGATAGTTTGGCTGTTCAAATAAAATCAGGAGATAAAGCTGCTGTAACAGAACAGGAGCTTCACCATCGGAGAGCAGAGGCTGCTACAAAAGCAATGTCAACTGAGACCAAAAATGCATGTACAAGTAATTGCTATGTTCTTTCCTTCGGTATGCAGCAGCAAATGTACATTCCCCAATTAACTCACTCCGAAATGTACTATTCACAACAGCTTGCAGTGTGTAACTTAGGAATTCACGATTCCATCACAGGAAAGGGATTCATGTGTTTATGGACTGAGGACTTTGGGGGAAGGGGTGCCTTGGAAATTAGCTCCTGTTTATATATTTACCTTACTAAGGAAATTGGCAATCACGGAAAGAAAAAGCTTATTTTGTGGTAAGATAATTGTGGGAGTCAAAATAAAAATCAGTTCATGATCGCCATGTATTTGATCATACTAGCAAATAACGTTTTTGAGGAAATTATTCATAAATTTCATGTAAAAGGACACACTTTCCTTAATTGCGACAGATATTTCGCAATCATAGAAAAACGTAAAAAAGTGTGTAAGGCTTATACATTGATGAATGTTGTTAACATCATTACTAGTGCGGCCCAGAAAAATCCATTCTCGTGCATGGTGGTTAAGGACTTTTATGATTTCAAAACCGTTGCCTGTGATAAACTGAACACAAAGAAGTTAGGAATTTCAACAGCTACGCAGCTTCGTCTTACAAGAGAGAAATTTCGTACGGTGATGGTGGCTAAAGGACATAGTGAGCTCGCTGAATGGAGTGAGACCAATGTACTCAAATCTGGAGTTACATTAGAAGACTTTAAAATCATAGACCTTCAAAAAACTAGAACTCACTTTGGTATCCCAGAGAAAAAAAAACAGATATTGAAAAAATGTTCCCTTATCTTCACGATGATGCCAAGAAGTATTTTAAAGAAAAATTAGGTCAACCAGGGCAAGTTTCTACTGTAGGAAACAACGGTTAAAAATCTGGCACTTAAAACGTTTTGACTTGCAAACCTGATGGCACTTTCAACGTTTTGACCTTAGGCAGATTTTTGAATTTTTTTTTAAGTAAGCTTTGTTTATTGTTCCTTTGCGGTATGTTTGTATTATATAATACCTTTAAACTAATCCTTTTTCAGTATGTTACATTATAAGAAATAAACATGTTCGATAAAAAACTGTTTTTTACTCCTCCTGAAAAATTTATAATTTGGCACTTACTACGTTATGGAAATGCACGCTTCATATAATAAATTAGTGCAAATCCTGGCCTATGCTGATGTTATCAATATTGTTGGGATAACGGAAAACGCTGTACCGGAGGTGTATCTAGCATTAAAAGAATCAGCTACAAAAATGGGTTTAATAATAAACATCAACAAAACGAAGCATATGAAAATAAGCTGCTACCACAAATTCGACGACCACTTGTTATAGAAAATGACGCCATCGAGTCAGTGAACGAATTTGTATACCTGGGAGCGCTCCTTAACACTAAAAATAATATTGCAGAGATAAACCGCAGAATTTGCACGGTCAACATGGTTTCATAAAGTGTAATTGCAGTGTAATTTTCTATTAAATATAGTTTCATTAAATATTTTCTCAGTATTTTTGGCAGTTTCTATCAAAAAATTCAAACACACTTTCCCTGAAAACCTTCTTCTTTTTGTCCCACTCCTATCAGAGATTGGAGATTGGAAATCATCAAGGCTATTCTGACCTTGTTTACGGCTGACCTAAAGAGTTCATTAGTGGTGCAGCCAAGCCACTCTCTCAAATTCCGCAACCATGACATTCTTCTACGGCCTGGATTCCGTTTTCCTTCTATTTTTCCCTGCATTATATTTTGAAGTAATGCGTATTTATGTCCTCTCATCAGGTGACCAAAATATTCGAGTTTTCTTCGCTTTAGCGTTAGCAAAATCTCTGGGTCTTTTCCTATTCTTCGTATTACTTCACAGTTTGTTATTCTCTCAACCCAACTAATCTTCATCATTCGACGGTAGCACCACATCTCGAAACTTTCAATATTTTTCATGTTGTTCTGTTTGAGAGTCCAGGCCTCTACACCGTATAATAGCGTGTTAAATACATAGCCTCTCAGCATTCTTAATCGTAGAGGGATGCTTATATTTCTGTTGCAGAAGAATTTTCTCATCTTTATGAAGGTGGCCCTGGCAATTTCGATACGTCTTTTTATTTCACTGTTTTGGTCTCCAGTTTCGTTTATTAAAGTTCCCAAGTATTTGTAACTTGATACTTTTTCAACTTGAGTGCCGTTTATACTAATATACGCTGGTTGTGTCATGTTTTTACTGAAGACCATATACTTGGTTTTTTTAATATTGATATTTATACCATAATTGTTGCAAGCAATATTTATGTCTGTAAGTAATCTTTGTAATTCTTCTACTGTTCTTGCAACTAGTACAGTGTCGTCCGCGTATCGAATATTATTTACAATCTCTCCATTAATTACGATTCCTCCGTTTGCTTGTAAAATGGCTTCCTGACAGATGCTTTCACTATATACATTAAATAACAGAGGTGACAAGATGCAACCCTGTCGTACTCCTCTACGTATTTCTATTGCTTGTGATGTTTCAGTTTCCATTTTGATGTTAGCTTTCTGATTCCAATATAGATTGAGAATTATTCGCAGATCTTTATTATCTATGTCCTTCCTTTCAAGAATCTCTCTAAGCTTATCATGGCGTACTCCGTCAAACGCTTTTTCAAAATCGATAAAACACGTATGTACCTCCTGATTAACGTCTAGGCATCTTTGTGTAAGAACATTCAAACCGAAGAGAGCTTCTCGAGCACCAAGCCCTTTTCTGAACCCCATCTGTGTATTACTAATATCTGACTCCAACTTTTGATAAACTCGGTTGTGGATGATTTTTAGGAAAATCTTTAGTAGGTGGCTCATTAAAGATATTGTTCGATGTTCTGAACATTCTTTAGCATTAGATTTCTTTGGCAGTGTAACGAATGTAGACAACAGCCACTCTTGAGGTATTGTATATTGTATTAAATAAGTGCAATAGTATACCTATTGATTCATCATTCAAGAGCTTTAGCAATTCGGTAGGAACCTCATCCGGTCCATTTGCCTTCCCAGTTTTGGAATTTTTAAGTGCCGTTTCTACTTCACATTTTAGAATTTCAGGTCCCGTTTCGCCATATATCAGAACAATGTTATTTCTGTTGTCCTCAAATAATTCTCTTATGTATTCACTCCATCTATTAATTTTCTCTGTTAAATCTATAATAATCTTTCCATCTTTGTTCTTAAGCAAACTTATTTGACGTCTT